GACTAAATTGTTTTTGGTAGCCAAAAATGGTCGGCAAAAATGCATTTTCTTGTAGTGTTTGGTCACACTACTATCAAGTTTGGAGTTGGGTTTTGATATCCTAAGTGGAGTTTAATTTAGGAGTGTGTTTGGTTCTAGATAAATGTTGGGAATATTATAGAAGAGAAAGAGACGGGCGGTGGACGCTGTGCATGGGGAAGAGTGAGACAGAGAGTTTGTGCTACATAAAGTTGGTTTGGAATGCAGGTTGACTTTTTCGCTTTTTAGTTTTTTGATTATTTTGGTTTGGGGCTAAAATGTCTTGTTTAGAATAAGTTTTTTGACTTTTTTAACTTTTGTGATAGACAAAATAAAATGATTGATATTTTTTAGAATAAGGGTTGGTTTGTCATGTTTAAAAAAAGCAAAAAAATCAAAAAGTCATTATTCTATTTAAGTCACATCATCTCTGTAACACATCACTTCAAACCCAACCCAAACTCAACCCATATTTCATAAAAAGTCAAAAAGTACACTTATTTAAATCATCTCAAACAACCCAAGACTAAAAAATCTATTTTATCTTTTTGTAACTATTTTAGTCCCGACCCATCCAATCCAATTACCCAAAGGAGTGCATAAAGAAGGAAAAGTAAAGGAGGAAGGAGTTGGGATTTTGGTCCACTCATAATTTTGCCAAACAATCTCATCCATTAATTTTTCATTTAAAATGATCTGAGCCGCTCTAATGAATTATATATTGAAAACATTTTTAAAAATCATTTTATTATATTAGATAGATATAAAAACAAAATTAAAATATATATACAATCACATTTATTTAAAAAATGTAATTAACAAAAATGTATATCATCATACTTATTTGGAAGGTGTGATTAAAATATCATTCTAATTTTTTTAATCACATTTCCAATTAAATTGAGATATTTTTAATTTCTCTTATGTGATCTTTAAGCATTATTGTAGTAGTGCTAATACAATATTACTGCTAATATTATTGCTGTAGTTTGAATGATTATGATTGAATACATGATGTTGCTTACCAAAAAAAAAACCTTACGGACGTAGCTATAAAATATAATTAACAAAAATGTATATCATACTTATTTGGAAGGTGTGATTAAAGTATCATTCTAATTTTTTTAATCACATTTTCAATAAAATTGAGATATTTTTAATTTCTCTTATGTGATCTTTAAGCATTATTGTAGTAGTGCTAATACAATATTACTGCTAATATTATTGCTGTAGTTTGAATGATTATGATTGAATACATGATGTTGCTTACCAAAAAAAAAACCTTACGGACGTAGCTATAAGATGGTTCTTCACGCGGGTTCTGCTCCACACCTTTTAAAAATTGCTTAATGACTGTTTCTGGCTAAACCAATGTAAATGCATCATCATCATCAGCCTGTAGGTGACTCAATTGATTGTCTTTTAAAAGGTTGATCCAATATCAGACAGTCTTGTAGAGTCGTTTAGTGTAGATTTTCAGCCTTTAGACTAAATACATTGGTTACGCACTAGTATTTTTGTACTTCATCTTCAGCGGCCTGTAGAGGTTATGGCATGTCAATTCATATAAGTGTTTGCTTTGATTTTAAATAGAGTATTTAAAACTCTTGTAAGTGGGCGGTGGGATTAGTTCTTCAGGATTCGTCGACGTGCACATAAGTTAGTCCGAACAACTGGTTATCAAAAAAAAAACGTGCTCCATTGTTATAGTGCAATCCTAAACCAAAGTGTGACCTTCAATGAAATGCCTCATATTTTGTCTATTCATAATAGGGTTCTTTGCTGATCATGGCTCTCTGCTGTTTTTATATTCAGAGGTTAGTGGTTGTTGTGATCTGTATTCTTCAAATGTTACCCATTACACTAGCAAGAACTCATTATCCTCTTAGTTTTAGTAATAATGTTTTCTTCTTTCAAGTACACCTCAATTTACATTGTATATTTGTATCATTCAGACACAATATTTGGATTTATGCTCATCCCATTGATTTGCCTTTTCCACTTGCAGGTGATGGATGTGGGAGAACCTTGATGTTTCTTAGCAGTATGAAAATTTACTCTTTATTTTCTCGGGTGCTGATTGTCTTAAGCACCTTTTCTCTCAATGAACAAGGGCCATGGCAATGTAACATTGGCTTCTAGAATAACGCTGAAATACCTATTACATGAATCTTGAATTTTGAATAATAGTACATGTTTCTGGTTATTTCAATCATATAAAGGCCTTCATAAATTGACAAGGGATGAAAGAATTGAGCTGAACATAATTAAGTCAACAAGTTGATGTTGTTCGGACAATACTTTTTGGGCACATCAGTTATGAATTGGGTCAGATATCAACTAAAAATTTATGCATACTGAAAACTGATTAACATCCATGCAACCTTCATTCATCTACTGACATATATCGATTTTCGAAGGCCAGAAAATTGATATTGCAAATACAATATAAATATTTAAAATAAAACTCAATTTACATTAAAAAATAAATAAACCTAAATAAAATAAAGAAAATATCATATGAATTGAGAAATAAAAAGAAAAATGTAAATTAATGACACCAATTATTAGTCGATTTCAATAACTGAGAGACATTTCTTTCTTACGTGTTGTTCCAAATCAATAAGATGAAAAATTTAATCAGTCAGAAGATGAACTGCTTAGTTTGTATTATTATTTTTTATTTGCTGGGAATAGTATGCGAATAATAAATATCACATAGCCTTTGTATGAGAGGGTTCAAGAAGATCGTTGGAAAATTCGAAAATCTTCGAAAATCCTTAAAAAATAATTTTGAATTCTCTAGAAGATGATGAGAGTAGATTCTTCAATAGTCTCAACTTAAGAACACAAGAGTAAAGGAGATGACGGAGATAAGAGATTGGGTGAAGAAGAAGGCAAAGTGGCTAGAGAAAGAATAATGGCAAAGCTCTCCCATGGATCTCTCACTTTCACTCTCAAGGTTGATAATGAAGAAGGAAAATTAGTTCTTTCCCAAGAGTTAACTCTCCAAAATCCATCCCTTATAAAGCTATGGGTGGGTACTATTTATAGACACCTCATGATATAGGATGGAGCCCATGTGCAAAGCACATGAGGAATATTCTCTCTAACCACCTCGTCCGAGGAGGTGACCTCCCCGAGGATGAGGAAAACCCCAAAGAGGAGATCAACCTCTCGGCGAACCTTTTTTCTTAGTCACACCTAACCAATGATCCCCAATCATCCCATAGGGTCGAGGTAGTCCTAGAGAACCCCCGCCGCTAAATATTGTCGAGTCTCGTAGACCCCCCGGGGTCGTGCCACCTCGACCCAAGTATAGGCTAGTTTAACCGAGAAGTAAATTTATCTCCACTCACCGTCTTCGGGATCGGGTCATTTGTTCGAACTCCATTACGCCCATGGTTTGGGTACGTAGATCCCAGAAAGCTCCAAGCCCGTAAGTGTTTTGGGACTCATTAATGAAACGGCTCCTAGATTGCGTCTAAATCCGTTCGAAGCCAAGTGCTTCTGATCTCTAAGTTCGTAGATCCGAACCCTTTCAAGTCCGAACCTGAGTAAGTCTCTAAGTTTGTGGATTCGAATCCTTTCGAGACTTAGAGCGATTCAACTCGTTTGATGATGATTACTCCGGACCCACTAATCTTGGACTTGCAATAAATTCAAGCCCACCATTCTTGGGCTATTGAGCCTAATTAATTTAGCTGATTCAGATTAGCTCCTCCCTTAAAAAGGGTTTGAGTGGTGATTCATCCCACTAATTTTTAGACCACTACTAGCTCTAATGAGTTTAAAAAAAAAAAAAAAAACTCAAGCCAAAACATCACATCACTTTAGTGGGGGCTACTGTGCCACATCATTAGTGATGCTCTAGAGCTCCCAATTTAGTGCTCTAAAACATTATTCATAGGGTTTTGCTTCCTTTCATAATTGGACTGGAGAGTGTTGTTAGGTCCATAGAAGTCCACCATAGGTCCTGTTTTGATAATTTAAACCGTTAAATGTATAAAATTCGTCGAATACTATATACTTATAAAAAAAATTACATTGATCGAATATCGATAGTTACGTGATCAAATTAATTATGTAATAAAAAATAAACAGTAAAAAAATAAACAATTAACAAAAATCTAAACCGATAAAAATGACTATCAATATTCAATTAACGTGATTTTGTACAAGTATATAATACTCTACGAATTCTACACATTAAACGGTTTAAATTATCGAAATAAGACTCTTGGTGGGCCACGACAAAAAAATTAAGGTTTTAAAGAACAAAATTTAAAGACAATTATTTTTTAAAAACTAAATAATTTTGTTACAAAAAGCATCATTATATTTTCATTAACAAAAATTAAACATTAATAATGAATTATTATCCTTTTGAGACCAAATTTTGTCTCAAAAAATAAATTATTTTAAGACCAAATTATTATCTTTAAAAGTCTATTTATTAGTGTCATTTTTAAAATTTTGTCACAAAATCTTATTTTTTACTTTTCAAGACAACCTTTTAATGACTATTTTCGTAACGATAAAAATTGATTTCTAAATATCTTTTGTAATAAAAATTTTACTTTTAAATACCAAAATATTTAATCCTTAAAACTCTTATATATTGTAATGAGCCTTCACAAGCCTAACAACATCCTCCAATATGTGATATCCTCCAATCTAATCACAGACGGGAGGGAACCCAATCCCCTTAAAAAATAACTACAATTTCTGTTTACCCAAGGCAAATGACGGCAATTTGAAATATTATTTTGTAATAGAAAATATCTCGTAGCTCAAATTTTATGGCTCAAAAGTGGTTCAAATGGCCAAAACGATGTCGTTTTGACCATTTTTATGTTGTTCTGTACTCAGAACGACGTCGTTTTGGCCATTTGAGCCACTTTTAAACCACAAAATTTGAACTACGTAGCAATGTCGTTTTGTAATTATCATATTCCCATTGTTAATATATGCCCAAGAAAAAGTTCAAAATGTGTTACGTTAATTATTACAAACTTGTTTCATCGAGTTTGACAGCATTGCTGTAAATAATCTGATTAACCATTTCTTATTTCTCCACGAAAAAAAATGATTCTAAAGAAATGAAAATACAACATATTCCGAGAACACTTCTTGTGTATCATGTCCGGTAGTTTTAGCTTCAGCATTACCAACGGTTTATTTTCATGAGACCATTAACCCTCACAAATAGCTTCAGTTTTGCGAAGATTTTGGCAAATTACAAATTCAGAATTCGACACTGCATTTTAGATTCATTAAAAAAATGTGAATGAAATATAAATAAAAAATTTCACAATTTTCTTCCAAAATCTCTCCCCAAATCTAATTCTTCCGAAGTCAACATCCAAACAACTTGAAAGCTTAGAGAGCTGAAAATATAATGCGAGGAATCCCATCCTGGAGGAACTTCTCTCATATCTTCCTCTGAAGTAAAAAAAACATTAGGAATCACTGTCCAATCCAAGAATAGAAACACCTTTCCACTAGAGACTACAAAAGCAAGAGTGAGTAAGTACTGTGATAATGGGCAACATAATGGGCAACATAAAAACAAAAAAGAAGAAAGTTTAGAAAGCAGACCAGGCAATAGAATAACATAGGGAAGGAATATACTTACAGTGATTTCTCCGTTCTATTTTTCACTTTCTGCTTTTCTATTTGTGGAAGAACAGAAGAATGGTTGGAATCTGTTGGGTCCCCCATAGGGGAAGGAGTGAGGCTGTCAGAGCATGACCTAGCTAGGGTTAGACTTCTCCCTCACCTCTCTCTCCACATTATCCCTCTAACCAAGGCTAGATCATGCTGGCAGCTTCACTTGTTCCCCTGCAGACTTTTACACAGTAGGTCAACTTGAAGCATATGTCCCCATTATGATAAGGCAAGCAAAACCCTAGAATGATATGACACTCTACTATGGCACGGATGAATGAATTACAAGGTGGAATGGTGAGATGGGATTTTTTTTTGGTAGTCATTTTATGAAGAGAAAGAGAGAAAAAAGACAGACAAACCCTCACATTCACACAAAAAAGGCACTAATTTATATGATTATTAAAAATTCTTGTCCAAATACCGTTATACATTACAACAATGCTGATACATCTCCAGAGATATGACTATTTGGAACCATGAAAGAACTGGAGATCTCTTCTTTGTGTATAAAATGAAAGAGGGTCAGCAACACTGTTGCAAAAATCTTTTTATAGAAAACATTTTGGAGTTTTTAAGTGAGGGGAAAATGTCTACTAGACAAGAAGAAGATGGTGCAACTAGGAATTGTTCAAAAGCGATGATTGAAATAAATAAATAAATAAAGGGAAAGGGAAGAAAAACAAGCAAGAAGGAAATTATTCGGCAAGAAAGAAAGGAGACCCCAAAAGAGGAATCTTGACTTGAGGAGTGGTGTCTGAAGTAGTAGAGAGGATTGTGATCTATTTATAACACGGGGAGATCAGAGACAAGTCGATAAGAGAGGTCCACAAAGACACAAACCCATATTGCAAAACAGTGAAATAAAGGAAAATTTATTTATTTCGAGTGCATGTGATTTGACCAATCATAAATTATCATACTTTTATGTTATTTTATAATTATTTAACATAAAATCACAGACACCGCGTGATCCGTACTCTAAAACCACCAAATCATTTATCCAGATAAAGAGCACCATGTGAGCCCTTCTCAGAGAGATGAGAGAGAGAGAGACAGCTAAGGGAGCTATATAGAATAGAGTCTATAGATAGAGTATGATTTTTGATGATAACGACGAGGGAAGGGGACTTTTACAGGTGGTAGAAAAATAGAGTAGGGCGGCAGTGCAGCCTGTGGGGGGCGCTCCTTTCAGTCCTGGTTGAAGACTGGGTGCCGTACTTGAGTTTTACCGAATGACTGTTCCTATTCTGCACCAGAAAGGGTATTACAATTATTGGCTTCAAAAAATATTTTGTTTAAGATACGATACCCTCTCCCTCTCCCTCTCCCTCTCCTTTCGATTGTCCTTTTTTATCTACTTCCTTTCTCCCAATATTATTTGTTCATTTTTTATATTGGTACTTTTTAATCGGGTTATAAACAAATAATTTTAAAAATTAAATTAGTTCTTGTAATTTAATTAAATTAAAAATATAAATTTTTTGTTTAGTTATTCAAAATAATGAAAATGAATAAATAATTTCAGATGCAGTGAGTAGGTTTTTTTATTTTTTTTTTATCGGCAGATGCAGTGAGTAGCTGAGCATCAGCATTGAGTCGAATCTATTTACAAAGAATAATGCTTGGAAGCACTAATTAGTGTTCCCACTAATTAGGTGACAGTGGGTCCCGTCATTAATGATGTGATGTTTTGATATTGGAGTTGTATTTTTTTTTTTTTAATGCATTAATACTATTAGTGGTGATGTTTTTAATGGCATGAATCATTGTTGATCTACAAAATTGGTGCTCAAATCTGATCCCTTAATTTTTCTTCGCCAATCTAGCTGGAGATCTAGTCTAGAACTTGCACCCAAACAATGCCTAACAAGCTTGCCCCAAATAAACTAATGGGCCAACCCATGGACTACATGCCAGACGGGTTGGGATTCGAGCATATTTTTCATTTTGAGCCACCATAATCAGAGGTCCAAAAAGTCACCTTTGGCCACCATCTTGACAATCACTTTTAGCTACTATCGAACGGCCGACAACCACTTTTAAGTATCATCTTCACCGGTCAAATAGCCATCTTAGGGTGTGTTTGATTGGACGGATTAGATAAGAGGGATTAGAATCTATCAGACTTGAGTTCTTGGACTGTGAATTACTCGGACTATTTGGTTGGATTGGATATGTATCTTGTGTTCGTTTTTTCATGGGATTAGATATCCAGAAATGACTATTTTTAGTGAATACAACATTTGATTGGATGGATTTGATAGGATAAATGAACAAAAAATTATTTTACCCTTTTTCAATTGTTTACTAAGTAATAGCAATATTAAACATATCTTTAAAATTTTAATTATTTTTAGCTAGATTAAATAAAAATTTATTTTATTATATTTTTTACACAATTAAATAAATTTATTTTTTTTAAAATAAATAAATAAATAAATAAAATATCAATAAAAATTTATATTATTTTTTTAATTAAAATTTTAAATAAATTTGTTTTTTAAAATTATTTTATTTTTAAATTTAGACATTTAAATTTTATTGAATTTTATTAAATATAATACACAATTAAATAGTAGATGGTCAAAATGGTCATTTCACCACCTAATCCCAACAGTAAATAATTCCCCCAAAATTATCCCACACCCCCCCTAGGATAATATAATCCCCTATATGGGGGATAAGCAATCCGGCCGGACTCCATGTCCGGCGGACTAAAAAAAACAAACATCGGATTAATCCGCACAGTAAATAATCTCCCCCTTATCCCCCTAATCAAACACACCCTTACAGATTAATGTTTAAAAATTCAGATTGGATTGGACGGTTGGATCGGTCAAACTGATAACCGAACTTAGTTTCGGTCCTGATGGCCTCTAAATGTAGAATATGTTTAAAATCAACTTAGACCAAGTTTGGCAAGTTGTCAAAAAGTTACTCAAAAAGTTAAAAATTTATCACTATTCATCAAAAGTCAAAAATTACGGCTGCACAACTCACAATCCTAATTTTCCCCTACACACTAATTTATACAATTTTTTAATACATATTTTTTCATAAAAAGTCAAAAAGTTAACCGAAACATCCGTATTTTTTTCCTCAATTTTTTAGTCCAAAAAGACAAAAAGTGCACTTATTTAGGACACCTCAAACAACCTTTTAGAATTTGAAAATCAAAAGAATCACCAATTCAACCAGGATAACCGGTGAAACGATCAGAGGTCAACATAAGAACCCATCAGGCTTGAAAAATTGAAATTTCTTTCAAAAAAATAATGTGGAGAGGGCTTAAATATATAATGCACTAAAAAGTAAGGGGTTGTTTGGGGTGTCCTAAATAAGTGCACTTTTTGTCTTTTTGGACTAAAAAATTGAGGTTGAAAATATGGATGTTTGGGTTAACTTTTTGACTTTTTATTGAAAAATGTGTAATAAAAAAATGAAAAAATTGATTCGTAGGGACCTATTTAAATTAAAATCACTTTTCAAAATAAGCAAACTTTTGGTGAATAGTGTTAACTTTTTAACTTTTTTAGTAACTTTTTGACTTTTTGGCTTTTTTACAAGTACCCAAACTTGGCCTTATCATCACAATTGTTAACAATGTAAAAAGTATAATATATATATTTAATATTATCTTAATTATTTTTGTTAAAAATCAATGTATAAAAAACATAAAATAAATTTTAAAAAATATTTTTTTGTAATTGTTTATTTTTTATTATTTTTTGTAATTTTAATATTTATGTTTTTTATACTTATAAATTTTAATATATTTATGACATAGCCCTCGTTTGGCATGTTGATTTTAGGAGTTAAAAGGTTAAAATAGTCACAAAAGCCAAAAGTTGGCTTGTTTTGGGAAGTTGGCTTTTAGCCACTTTTTTGGTTTGTAACAAAAGCCAAAAGTTGACTTTTTTGAAAAAAATTTTATTTGAGAAATTAGTTTTTAGCCAATGATAAAATTACAATTATACCCTTTATCGGTCAAAATGTGTTACATAGGTGAAGTTGTAAATATTTTAAACTAAATGAGGGTAGTTTGGTCATTTTATTATGATTTGACATCATAAACAAATATTAATAAAAAAAGTCAAAAGTCACCTTTTACCAACTTCTCAAATCATTTGTTTAAAAAAGCCAAAAGTTTGGTTAAAAGTCAAAAAGTCATTTTTTACCATCTTCCCAAAATAGGCTCAAAAAAACAAAATATGTTAAAGTTAATAAGATAAAATATCACATTCAAATTATAATCATTTCATTTTTTCTCTCACAAAAGTCAAAAAAGTTAAAAAGTCTAATCCAAATGAGACTTTATAGCCCCAACTAAGGATTCGTTTGGGAAGTAGGTTGGTTTTTTTGCCCTATTTGGTAGAACTTATAAGCAGCGTATTTCAGCTTTTAACTTAATTTAAACTAAAAACATGTGTTTGGCTTAACTCATTTCTCTAACTTATAACTTAAATGAAGTTAATTTTCAACTTATTTGGAAAGTGGGTCTGGGGATGCTTAAGTTTATAGCTTAGGCGCATAGCTGCATTAGTGGGTGCTAAAATGACGTAAATGCCCCTCCTAATCTCCATTATTTACAAGTGAACCAAGTATATATATAAAATGCACTCATTTTCTTCCTCTCTCGAAAGGACTCTGGTGATTTTCGATGGACAGAAGCGATTTCCGGCGACGGATAGAGCGATTTCCGACACTCATTTTCTTCCTCAACACAGCACAACATCCATATCTGCTCCGTCACGACCTCTCTTCTCTCTCTCTCTCTCGCAATCGAGTGGAAACCCTAGCGCCGTCGTGATCTCGATCTTCTTCGTTGCAATCTCTTTTCTCTCTCTTTTTTTTCTCTCTCTCGCACGAACCAGAGGAAACCCTAGCGCCGCCACGATCGCGATCTGCCCCGTCGCAATCGCGATCTCTTCTCTCTCTCTCTCTCTCTCTCGCACGAACTAGAGGCGATTAGCTTCTCGATTTGAACAAGAGGAAACACTAACCATTAGCTTCTCGTTTCGCCATCGTCGTTTTGCCACCGGCGACGTACGGACGAAGAGGAGAAGGAAAGTAAAATAATTTTAGAATAAAAAAATAATTTTAGTGTTAAATAATTAAAATAATTGTAGAAAAAAATAAATATTAATAAAAAATAATTGATAGAATTAAATATTTTTAGTATTAAAAAATAAATATTAATAAACTAAAATGTTAATAAATATTAATGTATTAATAAATTAATACTAATTTATTAATAAATTAGTATTAATATATTAATTGATATTAATTGATACTAATTAATAACAATTGTTGATTATTAATATTAGTTTATACTAAAAATGAAAATAATAATAATAATTTTACTAATTTTACTAAGAATAATAATAATATGAAAAATGATAATAATAATAATAATAATTGATGGACAATTGATGATAATTTTAATAATTGATGAACAAATTAATAATAATAATAATAATAATAATAATAATAATAATAATAATTGATACTAATTTTAATAATTGATGAGCAATTGATAATTTTTATACTAAAATCACAATTAATAATAATAATAATAATAAAGAAAATAAATACAGATATAAATAATAAAAGTGAATATATGAAAATAATATGTAATGAAATCACAACATTAATATAAATTTGAACATGAATATTAATTTTAATGAATTAATAAATCTAAAAAAATTAACAAAGAAAGAAGAGAAGAAAAAAAAATTAAAAAA